GGCTGGCGGGGGCCTCTGGAGTCGAGCTGCGGAGCTGTGGGAGAGCGGAGGCGCGAGGAGCAGGGTAAGCAAGCGCCAGTGGGGAGACCGAGGCTCGGGAGCCCGTCGGGCTGGCTCTGGCTCCATCCATGCCTCTGGCCAGCCGGACGCAGTGACCACAGCTCAGACCCGAGGCCCGAGGGCCCCAGGAGGCCGGGGCTGTGGCAGTGGCCGGCGTGGAACCGCCCCTCCTCTGCCTGGGCGTGGGCTGAGGCCAGGTGCGCTTTGCAGAGGCCAAAGCCCTGACCCGCTGGCCGGGGGGTGGGCGCCGCCGGGGACACCGCTCTTCGTGGACGCAGCTGCGGGGCTCCGCCACCAGGGGGCAGAGCGCGCAGGGCCCTGGCCTGTGGCTGGTGACGCGCAGGGATGGTGGCAGATTTTTGCCGTGAAATTATATTATTTTTGCGTCAGCAAACACGTCTCTTCATGAATACAGCTAAGTGCCTTCTAGGAAACTTCCGCACCACCACACCGCGTGCCAGGACCCGAGCAGGAGCTGCTGTGAGGTTGAGCCAGGCCCCAGGCCCCCGGCCAGCAGGCCGAGGGGCGGGCGGGGGCCTGGGCCAGGCCCGGACAGAGCGGCCCGAGCTGCTGGGGGGCGCACGCGTTTCTCCCGGGCGGCTGGTGCGGGCGGGAGGAGGGCGAGGGGCGGGCGGGGGCCTCCAGGCCGCGCAGCCCCGCCCCGCAGCTTCCATTCCTGCCGCACCTGCCGGTCGGCTCGCCCGACTCCGGGTGGGGTGGGGTTTTATTTTTTCATTTTTAAATTGGTGGGTGAGGGGAAGGCGCCCCACTCTGGTCTGGAAAGGGAGAGCTCCCACACTGGGGGTTGGGGGTGCAGGGGAGAGAGAGGCAGTCATTCAAAGGGTCAGGGTGAAGGCTTGGAGGACACACTTTCCCACCCACCCAAGCGGAAAAGGCAGCCAGCGGGAGTTGGCTCAGCTGGTCTGCACTGCGCACCCGGGGAAGGATGCTTTCCAGTCCGCTAGACCCCAGGAGACGCCAGCCCTGAGCAGCCAAGCTGGGCGCTTTCGAAACCCCAGTAGGGCCCGGGGCGCCGCACACTCCGCAGGCTGTGTGCACACTGGGTGCCCCCGTGTGTGTGCGTCCGTGTGCATGTAGGCAAATGGAGACTGGAGGAGACCAGTGGTGGGAAACACCTGCTCAGCAGGGCTTTACATTAAAGGGAGGGGTTGGGGGAGAAACAGCCTTTCTGAGATTTGGTTTGGTCGATGTTCAATATTTTTTTTAAGATTTTCTTATTTATGCATACAAGAATTGGCTTTCAGGCCAGAGATGGGGTGGGGGTGGGGGGAGTGAAAGGATTCACCAAAGGCAGAATGGGGAGTAGAACAGATGGACACCCTAGCCAGGGTTTGAACTCATGCAGCAGTAGCTGCAGATAGCTTTACAGTGCTGAGACTTAACCCCTTGTGCCACCAGGGAGGCACCCCTCATTGTTTAGTTTTGTTTTTTGGGGGGTTTTTTGTTCTTTTTTTTTACAGATTTATTTATTTGTGCATTGGTCTGCACTGCGGGTACAAGCCAGAGACTCAGGGGTGGCGATAGACTTCACCAGAGACAGAGTGGGGAGCAGAACAGGCAGATATACTGAAATACACTGCTGAGGGAAGCAGCGGGTGGGTCAGGAGAGGTCTGCCACACCTCGGGGCAGGCGGGAAACGAACTCCTGCGGAAGTGGTTTCAGCTTCTTAGTGCTGTGCTTTAACCCGCTGAGCCACCAGGGAGGGCCCATTGTTTAGTTTTTAACGGAAAAACTGGATCTGTGTCAAGAAGACTTTAGAGGCATAAGCACGCCTGTCAATCAGGGAGGACAGGCTGAAGCTTCCAATGCCCAGCCTAATTTGTCCCACAAGGTGAAGTTAAACTCCTCACAAGCTGTGTTAAGAAAAACCAAAAGGGAATATTTCTATTTAAATTGTCCTCTTTCTTCTCATTACAATAGATATACAATTAAAGAAAAGGAGATTTAATTCATGAAGGGTGAATTAATGAAATGAGTGATTCCATTCCTTAAAAAATGTACACGATGTAAGTCCATGGACAGATATGAAGGGATAGTGATGAAGTGGTATATATATGTAATGAATTATATATGTCTTGCCATTTGCACAAACATGGCGGGATCTAGAGGAAGACAGATGTGGTAAGATATGGTTTTACTTCGACAGTACTTACAAACAGATGAACTAAATAAAATAAAAACAACTATTTGACTATTAGACCAAATTAGTGGTTTCCAGAGGGATGGGAGGATATATGTGTGGAAATAAAATAGGTAAAAGCTGCCAAATACATCGTCAAGGATGAAATTAGACCTTTAATGGTAAAGGCAATACCGTTATAATACCAATATAAGATGGTGATTTAGGATGTGGTACACCTGAGACCTATATAAATATTAAAAACCAATGTTACCTAAATAAAGTTTTTGATTCCTACCTATCTTGAATCACCTCTATTGTGATCATCTTTAAGCACTGGCCACTTTTCTTTGGTGACTGGCTGAAAGCAAGAAAGGAAACGTTATAACTAACCAAATATGCTTTTTGTTAGCCCTCCTCTTCTTCAGAATACATCTGAGTGTTTTCAGGAAACATGTATGAGAGTACTTCAATGATACTGTCAAATGTTGGTGAAAATATGTTAAAGCCATTCATTACATAGCAGAGAAAAGATAAACTGTTACAACTCTTTTGGAAAACAATCTAGTGGCATATTCCCAAGGCATAAAATGTTTAGTCACCCCAGTTATTTTATTGTTCTCAACTTTTTTTTCAGAATGTTTCCACAGGAAATAAGCAACAAACAGGGAATTGTCATACAGACAAATTTGTATATTAATGATGACATTATTTATAAGGTAGAAAACTACTTTCAGCAAATGTCAATAGATTAAATGCAACATTATTATAGATTTTAAAAATTCAAGATTTCATTACCATCATTTCAAATGATATTCACATGTGGTTACTGTACTCCTTTGGTAGAGCGACCAGCAAAAAGTACACAGACTGGGTGGTTTAAACAACAGAAATGGATTGTCTCAGTTCTGAAGGCAGGAAGTCCAACAGCAAAGTATCGGCAGAGTGGCTCCTTCTGAAAGATGAGGGACAATCTGCCCTGACTGACAGTGAGATTCTGATAGTTTTCAGGTAATCTTTGGTTCTTCTTGACTTATAAAAGCATAACTCCAATCATTGCCTTCATCCTCACATGATGTTGTGTGTGTGTGTGTGTCCATACAAATTTCCGCTTTTCAGAAGGACTCTAGCCATACTGAATTAGGGTGCATGCTAACAACCTTATCTGAACTGCATGTATTATGTCTGCAACAGTTCATACCAAGTAAAGTTACCTTCTGGAGTACTGAGGGTCAGGGATTTACTGGGTTATAGATTTTGGTGTGTATGCTTGGGGGTATGGGGATGATAGGGAAATGTACAGAACTTAATTCCATATCAGATAATAAAAAAACAAAGGCGCGGGAGTCAGTTGAATGATGGCTCCCCAAATTATGTCCTGTTGCAAATCCTGGTATCATGAATGTCACCTTCTCTGAAAAATGTCTCTGCATATTTAATAAAGTTAAAGGTACTCGAAATATCCCCAGCTTATCCAAGTGGGTCCTAAATCCAATGGCAAGTGATTTCATAAGAAAAAGGCACAGCAAGATTGGAGACCTGTCCAAATTTTTTCACAGGTGATGTGGAAACCAGGCAGAAGTTAGAGTAAGGTGGCAAAAACTGATAAAGCCAAGGAATGTGGACAGCCACTAGAAGCTGGGAGAGAGAAGGAAAGGTTCTTACCAAGAGCCTCCAAAAGGAGTCCAGCCACAAGTTTATGGCAGGCTTCTAGCCTCCAGAGCCATGAGAGAAGCAACTCCCATTGTTCAGATGCCCAGCAGTGTGTATTCCAGAGCCCTTGAGGCCAATACAAGAGATCTCTTTGGGGTGAAAGTTCATGTGTTGACGCTTGTTTTTCTTTGAAAGAAGAACACATGGTCAAAGACCATTTCAAATGGAGTTTTTAACAGAGTTATTTTAAAATTCTCATCTACTTTTGAAGAAATGAGCAGACAACATCCTAAAGATTTCATCATCTTGCAAATTAAAGCTCTTTTAATGCAGCTGACACTGAAGAGAATTCCGATCCTGTGAAATGGGTTCAGTTGTTCTATATCCTTGTACATGGTAGACATAAAACTCTTATGAATACGAACTCATTTCCACATTGGCTTGACAGTCTCCAGATTTTTATCCCAAAATCATTGCTGCTCAAAGCACTGTTGAGAAACAGTTGTTTAATATTACACTTGACCTTTACATTTAAAGTTTTCTCTCACTTTCAAGGAGTTGTCATTATGTTCAACCCCATAAAATAAATGTTTCTTTGTAAACCTGTCTGAGCTTTTATTTATGATGCAAGATACAAAATGTGCCAGATATTAAATAATGTGGCAGATAATTCTAATAACCCCAGAAGCTGGACTGTAAACAAATCCAGTATTCTAAAACAGGCTGCAATGCTATCTGTTAAATAAATGCTTTTTCAGTTGACTGGTAGTATCATGGGAATGAGTTTAAGTCTGACCTGTGGTAGAATTATAAAAATATAGAATTCTAGTGATAGAACTAGAAAGTGGTCTCACTTCACAGTGAGGAATACTAAACTTAATGTCTTGTCCAATGTTACTGTATAGTGTTCTGTTCCTGCCAATCCACCACTGGACCCATGAGACTCTCATGGGAATTTACTTCTTTAAAGCTAGCAGAAGAAACTATTTATCTCTTTAACTCTAAGACCCATTTTTTTTTCTTATTTAAGA